TTCAGTTTAGGTTCGAGGCTATAATATATATGTATTTCGATATATATATCTTGATATATATATGTGGTGTATGCTTCAGTTTATGGCAACTAATGTGCCATGTTGTTGTTACTTTTCCTATGTTATTGCTCTCTTTATGTTGCAGCCACATCGCAGCAACATTATTTGTACGTTTCTTGTGCTGCTTGGCTGGTCCAATGTCTGGCTAATTTTCTATTTATTTGACCACAAACCCAGATGGAACACCACGTCGCTTACACACAGAAACACACACACCACGGATAAGGCTAGGAAGGCGCACACTCTTGGCTAATTTATGGGTTTCTTGCACTCTCTGGAGTTGGCTACGAAAAAGCATTAAAGCCTTTTCCTTCTTGCACTCTTAACTTGGCTTAAAGTTTGAGTTCGTGTTGGAAAGGAGACCGCACCCAGAATGTGGATAGTGGCTGCTCCTTTGGAGTCCTCACCCCCAGAGGCTCGAGAACTAGTTTACTTTCCAGCGAGTGTCCAATTGCTCATCAACCTGATTTGACTTTAGTGACATTCACGACTTAGTTGTGGGGGACACTTGAATAATATTAGGTATATTTTAATATTATTTTGTAGCCAGAAAAATAACTCTAAATGTGAACTAAAATTTTAAGGGGATTATAGAGTTTTGTGCATCAAATTGTGTGAGTATTAAGAAGTTAAAATGAGTTAGTTGCAAGATTTAATTTAATCTTTAAAGATGAATGTTTGTGTTTCTTTTGTTCTCATTACATTATCTTATATTGATTTAAATTCTTTTAAATTATTTATATAATTTACCAACTCTAAATCCCTACTTTATCCTTTTTAATAAACCCCTAATATCCTTTATGATAAATTCTATATTATTCTCTGTGTTTATCATATTTTTTTTATAATTTATCAATCCTTTTTAATAAATCCCTTGCTTCCTTAATATTAATTTTTTAAATTATTCTCTGTGCACTCAGATGATTTCCCTTTTGCTATTTGTGACTGTCTTGGCTTGGGCACACGCCCACCTTCGACAATTGCTACTGGGCTTAAAGTTCAGGTCAGGTTCAGTTCGAGTTCATGCGTGGCTTGTCTACGTCCCCTCCGTCCCTGTTGGCCCCACAACCAAGTTGGCCTTTTGAGAGCGGATTTCGATTTGGAAAATATATTTTTTTTATTTGCCATGATTTATGTTTTCACGTTGCGCTTCAAGTGCAACAGTTTTTATTTTATAATAAATGGGAAAAGCCAAGAGAGGGTGTGCTCGAATTTAAAGTTAATTTGTAACCAGGGTTTTTTTTGTTATAATAAATTTAATAAATAAATATTATAGAGTTTGGGGATTATTTAAAGTATTGTATAGTTTTCTATAGATTAAAATATTGAAAGTAAATTCTATCATAAAGTTTTGACACAAATATAAAGGATTGTTATTACTAGCAACATTTTAAAGACTTCAAAGTGATGTAATATATTTTGATATATAACATTTCTATATACAATTTTATCCAGTATTAATTTTATTAATAAAGTGTATCTATAAAGTATTTCTCTGATCCAATATACCCCATTTTCTGTTAAATTTTCAACATTTATTTAGATGTGGGTCGGACTGGCTTGGCATTTGTTACTGCTGCTGCTGTTTTAATTAGCTCAGCATTGTTTATGCTTATTTCGATTTGTTTCATTTTTTTCTCCATTACTTTTCCCCCGCGCTCTTTTGTATTGTTTTTATTTTATTAATTAATTTGCCCGCTTCGTACTTGGAACAAAGGCGGCGAATGTGTGGCAAGAAATGGGTTTTGTTTTGTCTTTTTGTGGCAGGGAGAGAGAGAGACACAACCCACAACAAGCCACATGATTAACATTTGCTATTTCCATGGATTAAATCAAAGCCTCTTGGCTAAATTTGCGCAATTAACTGAAGCTAAAAGTTCGTTTCCATTTGCCATAGCAATTTGAGATCGTTTACTAAGATCGAACAGATGCGATAGTCATTCAGCTTAAACTGGTTGCCGTTTTAAGGCATAAACTACAACAATTAATAATAGCAACCCGCCAACTTTTCATGGTTTCGCTTTACACAGCAACAGCAGCAGCAGCAATAGTAACAAAAAAACAACTAAACAGCCTGGAAAATGTTTTAAATATTTAGCATCCATTAATCAATTTGCACTCGCCGTTGATCTTGCATCTCGATGCGGTCAGTTTTTTACAATTTTACTTTTTATTTGGTATAGAGATCCGATTGCAGTACAGTTTAAAGTCGCTTATAGGGGAAATTAAATTAATGCCTTTAAATACTTTATTTATTTAATAATAATTCTTTATTTTTAAATTAAATTCAAAGTCTTAATACTATAAAAGTGATCTAATATATGGAAATTTTAACAAGATGTATTTGTATTTTTTCGTTACATTTTGTGAGCTTTTCTAAATTAAAAGTCTCTCTTTACATTGCTAACTTATAAATTCTAATTTATTAAACCCTATTTTATTTATTTTTCCTTTATATCCCAGTGTTTACTGTACCTATTTTTAATTTCCAAACAAGATTGCATATAACAGCTATCGCATTTCATATATTTTGTAATTTGTTTATGTCTGCAACATGGAAATGCATTACCTATTCTTGCTACCCAAAACCGATAAGGAAAATTCGTTTTAAATGTTTTTAATTTATTTATTACCCTTAACATTTATTTATATATTTTTTGGGTGCGTGCATTTGGGTTTTTGTAGCCTGGGAAAATGATTGGAAAAAAGCCGCACCCAGGAGAAAATTTGGCAATGGAGAAATGAAAGTATATTTTTTGATTCGATTTGATTTGTACTCAAATTCAGTGTGAGATGAAAACTCATTTCGAGTTTGATTCGTCGCTTGGGGTGCCAACTTTGCCATTTCAAGTGTTTCCATCGACCACTCACTCTCCTATTTGCATTGATTTATCTTTGTTTTGGCCTACTGCAGTTTTTCCTCTTTGGATTTCATTTCGCTTTGGGAAAAGTTCAATCAAATGATAGGCGAAACAAATGAAGGGGCGTGATCGAATTGGAAGGGCGGCATGGGATTGCCAAACTTAATCAATAACCAGAAGCAATGCCAAAAATCAAAAGAAATATATATCCAAATTTATTTATTTATTTTTTTTATATATTTAAAATTGAATTTCAGGTGTTTGGGGGCTGAAGCCGAAGTTTTGTTTATGGGAAAAACGTGAGATGTGGCTATTGCACGAAAACTGTGTACGTCTCTTGTCTATTTACTTTTGGCATTATTATTATTTTTTGCATTTATTTGCGCATTTTCGGGCAGCGTCTAATTTATTGAGAGAGGTGTGGCTGAAATAACAGCTATCGCAATCAAATTATCGAAAATACAAATCTCTATGACAGTTGGAAGCGAGCCTGGGGAATCGCAATCTGGCAGGTTTAGGCACTGGCAAACAACATCGGAAAAAATAAATAAATTCGACAATTGGCGGCGCCCAGAATATTATTATTTTTTCTCTCCTATAAATTGAGATTCGCAAATCGCTGTTATATGCCATTTACTTGGAGGCCAAAACGATCGGAAGAAAAAATAAAACTGACTTTGAGTTGGGGTCTGATTTGCATTTAAATGCAGATGAGATATCAAACCGAAATGAGATCAGATCAAAGATCAGAGATTGGTGTAGAGCAGAGCAAAAGTTTGGCCAAAGATCAACAAACATTGAAAAATCATCATATGAGACAGCTGCTTGGAGACAAATCTAATTTTAGCAGCCTCGGAATATGAATAACATAGATGAAACAGTGGGGAACATGACTATAAAGACAGTTTTGGCTTAAACTATAAACAGTTAATGAAAAAGAAATAGGTATACACAAAATGTGTAAAAATTAATACAATAAATCGAATTATTATCGATTAATATGAACATTAAAGTACCATGTATGTTACTAATTTAGCTAATTATAAAATAACATATTTGATTTGAAATATACATTTTATTTTGGTATAATACATTATTGGAAATTGTTATATAATTAAACTCATCGACAAAATTGATTAATCAATCGAAAAAATGTATTAAGTAATCAGCAAAATCGAATATATTTGTGAATCTATCATTGATATCATTGAAATCATTGAAATGCTTTTACTAATTAGAATCTTTAAAGCATTTGTCTGCTATTATCGATTAATTACATTATCGATATTATTGTGTATTGAGTATATAGTATTTTCTTTGATAAAGTTATCGATAAAATCTAATCGCCTAAAGGCTGCAACGCTTGCAGCTTGAAAACTTCTTAATATCATGATCGATAAAATATCTTTACCGAATTTAAACTAGTGATCGATTAAATATGAGTAAACTCATCTATAAACGCCTTACGTCTCCGTAACGGACTGTTACTGGCCCGCACTGTATTTGCATAAATTAAACTAATTGGGCGCCAAAGCAAAGTCACCGCAAATGAATTTACATAAACCGATGGATGACGACTAACGAAGAAGAGGGGGCCTTAACACAGAGACGGCGAGTTAAAGGGGGATCCACAATATCAAACTTGGAGTGAAATAACAGCTCATTGCTGTTGTATTTGCTTTGTGCTTTTCTGCTGTGTGGCAATTGCAAAAGCACAGAGAAGACCGACCGAGAGAGACTGAAATTGAAACATTTCACATTTTTAATTTGTACGTGATAGGGCAAATAGTTTGCCACTTGATGGGTTGCCTCTCTCTCTCTCTGCTCCCCTTGAGGAATCCCTCCATTTTTGTGGCACGGAAAATTATGCAGCACACAAATCAGCTCCAGTTTTTCACCCTCCCCTTCAGAGTTTTCCTTGGGTGCATGCTAACGTGGCAGGCAGCGGCAGACAAATCGACTGCTTTTCCGTCTGGCAGCATTTAGCACGTGATTGAAAATTGCCCGGGAATGAAGTGATTGGGTTCCAAGAAGTAAAATAGTTTAGTTTTTCCCCCTTCTGCAACTCTCCCTTTTTAGCAATTCTGATTGGCTGCAATTCATTTGATTTTCCTTCAGGCGAATACAAAATATTTTTCTTTTCTTGAACAAACAATTTGCTGAACTTTGCTCTTTTGTCTGCAATTTTCGTTTTTGTCTTTTTGGCATTAGAAATTAGTGTGAAATTAAGGCCAAACATAAAATAGTAAATAGATCAAATACAAATACTGTCTAAAAGAATACACAAGATATAGAATAAATAATAATAGTCTTCAGTCGTCATTTTCGGGATTGTGTTCCCATTGAAGGCGTCGCAAGTAAGCAAATGCCACCATCCAAAAGTAAATGCTAGAAACTAAAGGGAAATAAATCATTCTTTAACTATAAATAATAAAAAATCACTCACCTAATGTCACCAAGGAGGGAATGCTTTCAAATACACAAAAGTGGCAACTCAAGGCATAGTCTATGAGAAAGACGGTGCAAAAGATCAGGTGAAATATATTCGTTCCTAGATAGATGATCACCAGGAGTTCGATCTGCTGCAGGAGATGCAATGGGATCAGAGAACAGTCACATAAAAATTGATCACATACCAAGAAACTGCTCATTAGCAGAAAAATTGAGCCAATGAAATGCAGCAAATAGGCAGAACGACCGATCAGTAAAAGACGACTCTCTGCAAATTGCAAAGGAATTATTTTTCGATAATGAAATTTTCCAAAAAGCAGAGCTTACCTCCGCTTACCTTCGCCCACCATAAAGCCAAGGACCGCTGTCAGCATTTCAAAGAGTGCCAGGAAGCAGCATCCCGCTCTAAGATCTACACAGCAGCAGCACGACTTTAGCCTCCGTCCCCGACATTTCATCTCTCGACTGACAGTTGGACGAAGGCCTCCCCCGTAATGTTCATCCTAAAACTGAGTATGATTTGATATTGAACTCACCACAATAATAAGGGTCAAAGTAATGACAAGAAAATAATATATTTGGAAAAATTCCATGAAAATATATTTTCTCACTTGAAAACCTCTTTATACAGCTACCAAAAAAGCTAATTCCACAACACTATATAGCTTGGGTATTATATTATTTATTTTTCGGCCATTTCAAGGTCAGAGTCAGCTGCTTGGAACATGTGATAATGTTTGGTATTCTAATTCGAAACGCCTTTGTCTTGGGTGCTCAACTCAACTCATTTCAACTCATTTCAACTCAACTCGGCCCATTCAATTTGACAGCCGTCGGACGGAAGCGACGCCGCCTATAAATTACAGCATTCATTTGACTTGGAATCCGACTGAGTTTCTGATTCTTTGGTTTGAATTTCAGTTTGAGTTTTGGACATATCCAACTGGCCCTGCACTTCAGTTCAAACTCCATTCAAGTCCAAATTGAAATCAACAAAAGTCCCAGACAGGAAGAACGGGCACAGCCCACTAAACCAATGAATATCGATTGTTTCTATGACAGGCAGGCGAATATACTATATACTATATATTTGAAGATGACAGGAGGCGGATCCAACTTATGAGTCACTTAGGGAGATCTTGAAATGATTGTTTGGCGAAATACAGAAATTTATTCATAATGACACACAAAATTTAGTCATATAAATACCCTGACTTTATCGAGATTTAAGGAGAAAGTCTTTAAATAATCATAATTAATGTAATGATATTAATTGTTGCGATATATTTATGATACGTTGATATATCGAACCAAAAAAAAAATAAATAAATAAATAAAATTATCCTCTCGTTGGAAAATAAAATCTTTAAAAAATACATGAATATATATTGTTATCGATACTTATAGACAATTAAATTAATAGCAAAAATCAAAATAGTTTTATGATCTGCAAAGATTAAATGAAGCTAAGCTTGATAAAAAAAAATATAAATGCCTCTGAAGAACCTTTTATTGCACCTATTTACAAAAATACAATAAATTAATATCGATATAAAAACCCAATAAATGTAACATTTAAATCGATTAACTTCCTCAACCCTCAGTTTCACTAAAAACCCCATTCACCAAGTTTCACAATTAAAAAACAATTAAATGCGAGTGTCTAAGATGTGATAATAATTCATAATTACTCGATGCGCCATAAATTCGATGCCCAAAATAAATATGGATGCATAAAAACAATATTTTCTGTTTATAAACAAAACCATATTCGATAGACTGACTTTATTTTAACACATTGTGAACCGCATAAGGAAAGGTAGTGTACTTTAATGATCGCTAAAATCCAGATCGCATTCGTTCTATATATTTTGAAAAGAAGGTCCGAGAAAGAAGGCATCCGCACGTGTTCCGGCCAAAATAAATAGGCGGTAAAGGCCAACGCATTTGGGCCATTAAAATTCATTAGCCGTGTGCACATCTCGATCTGGAGTGCGATCGAGTTCGATCAATAAGCAAACAATAAAGAGCTCTGCCAGCTGCTGCTTGGCAATATAAAAATTCGAATTAAAATTCATATATTGCCCAAATTAGCAGCAGAATCTTGAAATTATTATTGATGGGTTAACGGAGGTTACGAGGGGCCATATTTTGTGGGTGGAATGTACGTACGAAACGGTTTGATTTACTTAACCTTTTCAAAATTGAATTTCCCTTCCTTAAATTACAAACATTTTGACTTGCTTTGGTGATTAACAAAAACTGATGACTAATTTTTAAGAACAAAACGTTGGATGACGCGACATTCAGTCTGCTTTGTTTACGTTATATAATCGAAGCCAAGGTGTAAATAAACAACTGATTGTTATAGCATTTTTAATGACTGCAAAAAAAGTAAGTTCAACTTGATAAGCCTTTTTGTTTTTTCTTGTGTTAAATACAAAACTCAAGCAGATAACTTGAAATTCCACACATGAGCTAATGGCTTTCCGCCCACTCAGGCGGGTTTTGATAAGAGCTAAGAGAGAGCTTTGTGGAAATAACATTAAAATTAAAATAAATGCTAATAGAAGAGACTCAGAAAGACAAAACAAAATCTATTCAATGTCAAGGTCAGCTGAGACAGGCAACAAATAAATTCGACTGTTTTTTTTTCTCTTGACGTTTCTTTTTCTCACTCTCTTATTTTGCTTATTGTCGTTTTTTGCACAATTTTTGTTTGCTTTCGTTTTCTTGATACTTTTTTTTTGTTGGTGAATATTTGTTGTTGTTGAAGATTGTTGTTGTTGAGTTTTTTTGTTGGTGTATTTTTTTCTTTGCTGTTTTATATTGAGCATTGTTGATAACTTTATTTGCTTTGACTGTAGGCAGTAACAAGCTGGCAAGAAAGAATAAAACAAAAAATTCTCAGCACCCCGTGCCGAAAAAAACAACAACAAAAGCATCTGAGCTTAACGGAATTAATTTTAATTTTATTTGTTTTAATTTTATAATTTTGTACATTGACTTTCGTTTTTAAGCTCTTAAGGCATTTAAACAAATTTCGTTTTATTTTATGTGGCCAATGACGTCAGAGAGAGATAGGGGAAATGGTTTATTAAAAAAGAAAAGGTAAACAATATTTAATAATCAAACCCAAGAGACATTAAAGATTTTCATTTTTGAAAGAGAGTAATCAAAATAAAAACTAAACAGTCACGTAATAATAATAAATAATATTGAAAGCATGTTTATATATATTCCCCTGTGCAAATGTTACGTGGCTTATAGCCAATTTATATTTTAGAGTGGAAAATCCTTATCACCAAAGCCATCCGGCTTGAATTCGAGCTGCAAGGAATTTCCGTTCGCTTGTCATATGCAATTTCCAAGCTGTCATCGAATTTACATTTTTATTTAGACTCACAGAAGGAATTTGCATTCGCATTTATACTGAGCTTATCTATCTTTTTCTATGATATATATTTACTTATATATATATTTCTTGTGTCTGTCTATATCTTTTAGCTCCACATCTGGCTGCAATGGGATCTTTTCACGTCGCCTGGACTTTACGTCGTTCAATTTGCTGCCAAAGACTCGTTTGAATTCTTATCAAGTCAAGGTGAGTTATGTTCATGAATAAATATCTGGGAAAATATATAAAAAGTGATATATATGTATTCATTCACTACTACTCTCTGCTTATTAGTATTCACTCATTGAGAAACCGCAAAGTTTGTGCTTGAATTTGCTTTCTTGGAAGGAAACACAAACAAAAAATAACAAAATCTGCCTGACTTGGCAAACTTGCAATTGGATATGCCTTTTGGCTTATTAGAGAGAGGGATGAGGAGGGGCTTGTTTACTGGATTAGATAATTTCCAGCTGGTCTGCGGAGGCTGAGTCTGAGCTAGAATTCTCGGGAAGAACCGATCTAAAAATGCAGCCAAGAAAAAATACAAATATTCATTATCTAAGCTGTTTCTGTTAGCAGTCACATGAGAGCCAGCTACTGCAGCTAGTAAAATAAGCGGAAAAGTGGGAAAAACAAAGGGTTAGGAAAATGTTTAGGTCTTTATAAGGGTGTTGTGAGAGATGGAGAAATATTTTCATGAATTAAAACATATATTTATAGAGTCTTTACTAATTTTTTTCTTTTATATTAAATGACATTTAAAGTCAAGATCTATTCTATTATTCTATTATTATAAAATTCAATTATTATTGAATTCTACTAATATTGAATATTATTGATCTTTGGTATCATTTAATTATATTATTTTTGAATTCAAATATTATTATTATTTATTTCTTTCGGTGCACTAAAATCATCGATTGTGAATGAGTGCATTGGAAGCCAATCAAGAGGAAAAAGTCTTTGGTCTGCCTGCTTATCTTTCAATCTTGCCGCCTCTCATTCAATCGTTTTTATATTTTTCTCTCTCTTATTTTCTTTATTTATTTCTTTACTTTACTTTATATATCCCCTTGGAATTGTTTTGGATTTCTGTTTACACTTGGTGTAATGCCAACGCAGGCAATTCCAGGGGCGTGGGTGTGAGTATGAGAAGGGTATCAATGATGGATCTTATACTTAGATGATTTTCACTGTAAAAAAAAGAAAGAAAATCACTACGAAAAAATTATAAAAGAGTTATTTTTATAATTTGTTAAATTTGTATATACTTTAACATTATATCCTAGAAGTACTCCTTTATTTTCTGTGCATTTAGGAGTTTGCAGTGTGGAAGGATGCCTTCTTAAGCCCTTCGAACTCCACAATTGTTGGATGGATTATATATATAGGCTCCTTTTGTTAATGTTGCTTTCGATTGATATGATTGGGCTTGCGGTTTGAGGCTGTGGTTGTTTCGGGTGTATTGAACCAAGCAAACCGAATGAACCGAGTATAAACCTCAGACTCACAATCCGACTATTCTGGGCTTCGGGGTATTGGTTTTCAAGTGGCAATTAGCGAGCCTCCAAGGCGAACTTCACTGCCTCTCCTCTCTACAATCTGTGGTTGGACGAGTCTTCTGGTCAGCAAAACTCATGAAATCATAACGCATTCGTATCTGAGAGATGCAGAAATCCTTGGAGTGCGCCTCTGAATATTTCATAAGCAGCAGACGGAAAGGGAGAGGGACTCGCTCCTTTCACCTGTCTCCCAGGACTTTGAATATGTTTTGCGTGTGGCCAAAATTGTAGCTGTATCCTCTGCATGTGTATCTGTATCTGTATCTTTGTACATGTATCTCTATCTGTATCTGTAGCTGCAGCTGCTCCCCCAAAGGAGAAAAGTGGATTCTCTGAGAGTCTGAGTGAGAAAGCATTGTCTGGCAAGCGAATTGCTTTTAAAAACTTTACAATTCAATCTGTTTGTTGCTGTTGCTGCTCCTTTTTTTTTTTTTGGCATGCATTCCGAATTGCATTTTGTATTGAATTTATAAATATTTAATGCCATTCAAAATGCCATGCAATCCCAGAATCCAGAATCCAGAATTCCAAACCCAGAAACCTCAAACTCTAAAACCAAGGCAACGTAACGCGTTGGCGTATTAAATTCTTTTCTGTCTAGGATTTGTTGGCTTAAAGAACTGGAAAGAAAAAACTAAAAAAGGGAAAACCATTGGAAAGGAAAGTTTGCTAAAGTTTTCTGGCTGGATTTCCTTAAGCCCTTAGCCAAACAACTCAGATCAAAATCGAATGGGAAAAAACCAGTTTGGGTTCTTCATAATTAACACAAGTCAACTTGTTAATCATCTAGCAATTTGAGCAATGAATCCCAAAAGGGTTGTTGCTTTGGCTTGGGTTGATTTTTTAATCAGCATATCATAGACTCCTCGAGAGGGTTAAGCCCCGTCTGTATTTTTTATTTTTCTTGTCTTCCAATCAGCTGTCGACATTTTGGCCGTCAAGGGATTTGTGTCAAAAAATAAACGCTAAAAAAGGCACCATAATTATGATTAACAGAATGCCGGGAATTGAACTTTAAATTCGGACTTCAGTCCGTGAACATCTGCTAATTGTTTCATCTCTTCCTTAATCCTTTATTATTATTATTTTCAAAAGGGGTGTATCTCGATGATTCAGTTTTGAAATCTGCTCCGTTTTCTTCAGTTTCATTTGCTGTTTTTTTATTGCCGCGTTTTTAATATGCCAATCAATCTTTGTCGAATTCTTTTGCAGAGCAAACTTTAAGCAAGAAAATAATTTTTTTTTATATAAATGATTGATGAGCAAAATGCCACATGGTTTGACTATATTTCTGTGTCTGTGTCTGCAATCGCAGACTGAAATTTCAAATTTGAATAGAAATAAATAAATGTTTTACTGGCTCTTTGAGATAATATTTTTCTCGTATATTTTCCTTAACATTTTCAAGTGTCATTACAGGGCTTTTCCTCTTTCCTTTGGTTGGCGGAAATTTTCCCCGAGTTTTGTTGTCAAAGTCACAAGTAGAAGTAGAGAAAGCGACAGACATTTTCAATGGGTTTTGAGTTCCTCTTTTGGTGACACTCTTTAGAAGATAGTTTTTCTCAATTGAAATGAAATCTAAAGGCAATATTTTTTTAAGAATTCTTGAATATTTATAAAAAGAAATTTTGTGGAAAAGAGTATCCAACATTTCATTTCCTTGATATTCTTTTCGTATTTTTTTTTTGTGGTACTCTGAAGTGGCGACACTTCCACAGATTGATGGCTGCACATTCTGTGTGCGCCCCCAAAAGAGTTTTTCCGTTGGTTCTTTGCAAGTGTCAGCGAATTTTACTTTTTTTTTTGAGCTGAAAATTCCAGCGGAATGGAAATTCAGTTGATGGAGCGCCACTGGACAGGCTCAACAAAAATTTATGCAGTCTACAATAATAAAAGCCTGCTCAAAGGGAGCATAAAAAACATATACATATAAAAAAAAGTGTGGCAAAACACTATATATAAACTCTGGTACATTGCAGTACAAATTCCAAGCGGATTTAAATTTTATTAAAGCCAGTAAATTTATGCACAAGTTCTCGACGTCTCAGACTTGTCTACGCCCACTCAGGTACGAGTGGTGGCATTGCTTCGGGCCATGTTTGCCAAAGTTGTTGCCATTGTGCTGCGCGGATGTTGCTGATGGAGTTTGATGCTGATGCGGATTCTACTGCCTGGCAGTTCCATCCAGTCCCTTCTTCTTCGAGGACTGATGTACGTCGCTTGACTGCCTTAAACATGACATTTATTGTAACTGTCTTTCGGGGCCTGCCATCCCGCCACATTTCCCGCTTTTGGCCCCCTCGAGCTTTGTCACACGTTGATGTGACTGCTTCCAGGGAGAGAAAATGTTGGGTATATTTTGTAGAAGGAAATATAATAAAGGTTAAGAAAACCAAGCTTGGTTGATTACTGTATGTCAAGGGTCAAGATTTAATGGTTTTAAGAATTCTTTTCATGGTAAAAAGTGACTATTTGGAGTAGGAATGGCAGAAGAGATCGATCTATCGATATTGCTTCGATATTTTAAGGCAGGAGTCTATGAATTAATTGAATACAATCATTTAGATGAGATGTTATGTCTGAGTATTTAAATAAATAGATATTGTCATATGAATATTTTACTTGAGTTATGGCAGCAATATAATCGATAAATTGCTAGAAGAACACCTATACAGAAAAGTATCGAATATTTTTCAAAAATATCGATATTTCAGCATTCAATTCGATAAATACTCATATTTAAAATGTCAACATATCAAAGTTTACATTAGTTTCGATATGATATTAAGTTTCATATATAATTTTTGATATATCCGATCGTACTGCTCCTTACTATACACTTCCCTCCTTTTGCCTGACATTTATGTCACCTCAACTACATTTTTCTCTCAGTGCAATCGCTGATGCTTTTACTGCCGGAGGCGGAGATGTTGCGTTGCCTGTTGTCATTTAAGCATTTGATATGCATTGTGGTATGTCTGTCCGCGTGTGTACTTATACTATATACTATATAGATCTGACTGTGTGTATATGTTATTTGTGTGTATTTTGCCAGACGGCGCCAAACGTCGACAGTCATTGTCATGGCAACATGTTGCAGACACCGCTGCAATGCACTATACTCCACTCCATTTGTGGCACTCTCTCTGTGTCTCTGCACTCAACCCCTTTTGCTTATCAACCATTTATTTCAATTTCTGCACTTTTGCGTGGTGCAAATTGCACAAAATTTGCTCAAGTGCCTCCAAAGTGCGCAATGAAAATGAATAATTATGTTTGTGCTGCATTTTGTTGGTATATACATATATATTTTCTATACAAGTTTCTTTGGCCCCTGGTGGTTGTCGGTTGCTAAGCTTAATTAAATGCCTTCGAGGCAGTGACAAAAACATATTTCTAATAAGCATACAGTGAGAGAGAAAATTATAGGAGCATTTTAAGGGTTTTAGTAAAAGAGAAAGGGAGTTTATATATTTTAAAATATAATTAATGTATTAAATATATCAGTATTATTTCATATTTCTTTATTAACTTTAGAATTAGTAATTTCATTTATATTCCTGTTTTATTATTCAAATTTGTTCACCAAACTTAGTTAGTTAACTGACAAAACCTCACCTATTACAACTTTTAACCGCATTTATG